CAAGTTGACTAGGGATTCCTGATGCCAACCCCTCCTGAGAACTGGTGATCTGGAAAGGTGGGGGGTCTTGACAGCCAGCAACCAACAGTTCATATTGATGGATTAAAATAATCATCCTTCTTCCACAATTTACATTTTATTCTAAAAACTATTCAATAAAAATGAAGAGTTAACCCCTATAATACTCATAGAGATGTAGGTATAATTTTAGAAACAAATGTATTCTGTAAAGGCTGAATGGTCATAGACGTGGAAGTTTAAACCCTATATACTCCTGTTTATTTTAAATTAGAGATTAAATCAATGTGCTTTATTTTTTATAAATTGAACATTGATGGTGGGCAAAGTGCTGTATTGAATATTTTCAGAAGCTGCAGGATAGTGTAGAAGTCAGTCTTCTTGCTAAGGAGCTTCAATCCCATTGTGAACCAAAAGAGGCACACGAGCAGAAGCTCAAGAACAATCATAATCAATACAAGTGAACAGATAGTCCTGTCTCTGCAAGGAACACCACAGACCCAGTGAAATACCATCTCACTTCCTTGGAATATGAAGATTATTTCTCCTTCATGTCCTTATCCCTAATTCCTAACATGTGTATATATAGTATATACATATGAATTTAATACTATGAATTAAATTCATGTGTATATAATATTATTTTAATACGGTAGTAATATTTTCCAGAAATTGAAAACTATGAAAAAGTAAATTATAGCTATTTTTTCAACCTGTTTTATTGGCACATAATCTACATATTATATAATTCAATAATTCAATCCTATCAAGAAGAATTGTACAATTATTACCACAATCTATTTTAGAACATTTTCTTCTTTTTTATAATGCTTGTCATTAGCTCCTCATTTCCCCTCAACTTCCCCTGCCATGTCCCCAAGAAGCCATTAATCCAGTTACTATTTCTATAGAGTTAGTTCTTTTGGAATGCTTAAACAGAAAAATATACAAAAGAAAGAAAGAAAAACTAACAATAACAAGGAAAAACCTCAATGGAAAAGAAGTAGAAAATATTAAACATAGAACAATTAACAGGTATTCTTTAAAGCCTCTTTTAGTACTTTATTCATCCAATATACAGTAATTGTTACAAACCGCCATACCTGTATGATACCACATGATATCAATTATTCATTTCTTCTCCTCAATAACTATATTCAATAGCTCTACATATGCCCCCGTGATTACCCTCAAGACATAAAGATCTTACTATTATGTGAAAATATTAGAGACTCTTTTTGGAAAAAATTTGTAAAGCTCATGTTAACATTTATTAAAACATACTTGAAATACATACCTAGCACTGATTCAATTGCTCATAAGCTAATATGAGTTCATTGTCATGGACACAAACCAGTCCTGCACTTCATATCTGTGCACAGATAATGTTAGAACAGAATTTGTGCCAGAACCCAATTTCTTCTAATAGGATGTGCTTTCTCTGATTTCTAGACATTTGCTTCACAATATTCTTTTGTTGTACTTTGACAGAATTTTAAGATCCAGAGGTCATTTTGCACCTCTATAGCATCCGTTACATTGACACATGCTGTCATCCGTCAGTAAAATCAGGCAGTAAATATCCTCTCATCTTGCCATGCTGCCTGGCTGATTACACCCTCCAAAAGGCTTTGCCAGAAACTTTTAATATGTTTTTCCAAACTCTGACTTCCATTAGTGATTTTTTTTCTGAAGGTGGTGAAACACTCATGTAATCATCTGTTTTGAGAGACCATTTTCCCTCCTGTGACTTTTGTCCTTTTTGAATCAGATGGTGGTTTTCAGAAAAATTTTTCTTTGTGCATGTTTGCTATGACTACATATCTTTTTGTTTTGCCAATTCAACAGAGACTATTGGAACTTTAATATTTCTTAGAGGTTATTGAGCCTCTGTAATTGGGAGAATGTTACTCCTTTCAGTAGAATTGTCATTTCACTGGGAATTGGCCAACAGGTTATCATGTTTCCTTTCTCTTCATGGCACAACCATTCTAATAGTTTCCCACACGGTGTAACAAATTACTATCCATTTATCAACTTAACACAGCATCCTTTCACTATCTCATGGTTTCAGCAGGTCAGAAATGAAGCACAGCTTAGCTGGATCCTCTGCTCACGGTTTCACAAGGCTACAGTCAAGGTTTCTGCTGGGCTGTGTTCTTATTTGAGGTTCAACAACAGTGCGTCTTCTTCCAAGCTTTCTCAGGTTGATGGCAGCTATAATTTATTTGCCTTTGTAGGACTTGGCCGTCAGTTGCAGTCTTCAAATCCTAGAGGAGTGTGGTCTCTTGCTAAGTAAACTTCTCTATAGACAGTTTACAACATGGCGATTTGTTTCCTCAAACCTAGCAGGAGAATCAATGTATACATCTGCTAGAAAGATGTGTGTGTGTGTGTGTGTGTGTGTGTGTGTGTGTGTTTAGTAGTCCCGGGACTGACATCCACACATTTGCGATATTCTTGCGTAGAAGCAAGTCATAATTTCCTCCCACCCTCCAGGGTTTGAGATTATAAAAGGTATGAACACCAAGCAGTGAAAAAGGTTACCTTAAGGTCTGTCTGACACTAGTCTATAAAAACAGACATAAGAGCCTGAACTGAATGATTTTTGTGATTCTCTTGGTATCTCACTTAGAGTTTGTAATTCTCTAAACAAATTGGTTCAACTGTTTGTTGCCTTACAAAGCATCAAAACTGCACAGTGGTTCTAGGGCCCATCCTGGGGCACGTTCAGGATTTAAGAGGATAAAAAAGAGAAGAGATGCAGGAGAGAGTAATAATGAATGATCCCAAGAACATTTAAGAGATCACAGTTCTAAAATTTTAAGTATCATCGGTTGCTGCTTTGGGTTTGTTCTCTTGTTTCGTAACTTATTTTGCTTTGATTTGGGACATCATATGTTTCGTCTGTGTCTCTGTTCAACGTTGGCTTTTATGACCAACTTCAACATGGCGTAGACCTATCTTCTTCACTCAGCTCCCTTTGCACAACACCCAAACCCTCTGAAGAGGTGGGCCTGCTTTGGCTTCAGAACTTGGACACTGGGGTGTGACTTACCGTCTGACTTAAACGTGGTAACTTTTTAAACGAGACAAATGTGGATTATGGACAACATCTTGGGACATTTCTAGCCTCAGAACAGAATTTTTTTTTAATTTAGAGCCCTAAGTATTATTTCAGGTACTCTGTTTGTTAATATTGCTTATGGTGACTGAAAAAATTGATCCTTAATTGTGTGGAAAATAGAAAAGTGATCTGCATGCCAATGGCCAAGTACAGACTTTAGAGACTTGGCAGTTTTGGAACCGATATTGATGAACATCTGCTTTCCCCCCATAAATTTTAATATGTATTTCATCCTTTGAAACTTACAAAACTCCCAGGTGCTTCTTCATTCTTTATCTCAGGAAACATGGTTTTTAAAAATAGACAGCCTCTTTTTTGCCCACAGAGCACATTCTAAATCAATTTTGCTAAGCAGCATTCCTGTATATGCAGTGCCTGCTGGACTGCCTGTTACATGGTATTCCATGTTAGCAACGAAAACCAGTGTTTTCAGCATGTTGGGGCTCCGCATTTTGCAGTTCCAGAATAAACAGGGACCATTCGAGCCTTCACAAAGTATGCTGGAAAGTCTTCATTTCTCATCCCAGGTTAGACCTTTCTCTACTCCGTAGATCTTTATTTAGTGCTTGCTTGTGTGTCAGGCACGTTTGGGCCCTGGAGCTGCTGCAGCCAATGCAACAGGCAACCTCTGTGACCTCAGTGGGCTTCGTTAGGTCCCAGCAAGCAAAATTGTTCTGTAAACAGAATTGTCTTTAAATCTTCATCGTGTATTTCAAACAGTTCGTTGTAAAACTTTAGAGTTTGTACTGGATCTTCAAACCTACGATGCTCCCCATTCTTGGTGCAGGATCAGGCCCTGGGAGGCAATGGTGAACAAAATAGGCATGCTTCGGTCTTCCAAGAGTTTTCAAGGCTACTGTGCTGCTCCCCTCTGCCCAAAAATATGGACCTGAGTTGGGGTCTGGGTAGCATTTGACCATTCTTTGTTTTAGACGTATTACAAGCAGCACAAAAGAAGACACAGCCCAACAGCGAACCAACACCTAACTTAGCTATGTGTGTGCAAGGCTAGCAAGGGCCTGAAGCTCTCTAGGAGAGCAGCCTTTTGAGTGTGTGGTTTTGACCACCCCGTAACACAGAATACGGTCATTTACATAATAGGAAGGCCTCAGGAGGGCAGTAGAGCTATTTAATTTGGTTAGCCTAATAGTTTGCTATCCATTTACAGTGTAATGGAGTCTCCCTCCTCTACTTCTTAAATAGGAGGGCATTGGAAGGAGGCCCTAGGACACATAAAACCTGGCTGCCTTCTTGGTGTATTGATTTCTACTCAACCATTTGGAGAGAAAAGAAGTTAATTCTGTACTGATAAGTCACTTAAAACAACATTATTTTCCATGAAAACCAATACAGTCATATTATGGAAGAGAATACAAAATTTGCATATAGTTTTAAGATCAAGCATAAGCCTAAAACACTGCTGGAGACAAGGGTTAAGGAATTAAGCTTTCTCCATATTTTCTGTCAGTCCCCAGTAAAGCCAAACTGCCAAAAAAATCGTATTTTATATAAATAATTTAATTTCAAATTTTATGTACAGTAGAAATGAAGGACAAGTTCCCCAACAACATCCCTTTCAACCATGTTGCCTCTTGGATGCAAGGAAATCCTGGAGCACTTCAGGCTCTACTCCTTTTTCCCCAGCCTGGATACCAAGCCCAGGAAGCCATGTTCATTCCCTGTGGATGTGAGAGTTTGAGACCACCCTTCTTTTCCAAGATTTGCAAAGAGGAGTTTGCTCAATATCCTCTTTTGTTCTTAGCCCTGAGACTGAGCATTGTTCGTTCTGATCCTACCCCTGTTCTCTAGGCTCTGCAGACCCGATCACGCCCTTTGTGCTTTGTGTTCCTGACAGGATCTGGACCAGGTACAGCTCCATCTGGAAGAAGTGAGGTTCTTTGATGTGTTCGGCTTCAGCGAAGCAGCGGGAGCATGGCAGTGCTTCATGTGCAACAATCCTGAAAAAGCAACCGGTGAGAGGCCCGAAATGCTGCTGAGAACATGAGCCCCTTGGATTTACAGGAATCCGTGAACCCCACTGTTCTAGCTGCTTTCCCCTGCTATACACACTCTAAAATGCATAAGCAGTTTAAGGTGTACCTGACCTCCCCTGCTTCGATCTGAGATCAGTGTTGTTGTTGTTGTTGTTGTTAGGTGCCATCTAGCCAGCTCTGGTCCATAGCAACCCTCTGCACAACAGAACAGAACAGTGCTCAGTCCTGCGCATCCTCACAATTGTTCCTATGCCCGAGCCCATCAATGCAGCCAACGTTAATCCTGCCAATACAGATCCGTTTGTCCTTTTAGCAGTCCATGGTACTTTCAATATTCTTCACCAGCACCACAATTCAAATGCATCGGTTCTTCTTCGGTCTTCCTTACTCATAGCCCAACTTTCACATGCACATGAGGCAACTGAAAATACCATGACTTGGGTCAGGCCCACCTTAGTCCTCAAAGTAGCATCCTTGCTCTTTACTACTCTTAAGAGGCTCTGCATGCACAACTACCACTTGATCCTGTACAAGTTCCAGTGAGCACAATGAAGTGCTCTGGAATTCCCATTCTTCTCAAGGTTATCCACAGTTTATTATGATGCACACAGTCCAATGCCTTTGCATAGCCAATGAAACATAAGTAAACGTTGTTCTGATAGTCTCTACTTTAAGGCAAGCTTTATCTGACATTAGCAATGATACGCCTTGTTCTGCTTCCTCTTCTGAATCTGGTCTGAACTCTGGCAGTTCCCTGTCAGTGTACTGCTGCAATCTTTGCTGGGGGATCTTAAGCAAAAAATTATGTGTATGTGACATCAATGATATCATTCTATAATTTGAGCATTCTGTTGGGTTGGGCATTTCTTTGGAATGGGCACAAATATGGATCTCTTCCAGTCCGTTGGCCAGGTAGCTGTCTTCCACATTTCCTGGCATAGATGAGTGAGTGTGTCCAGTGCTTATTCAGCTTTCTGAAACATTTCAACGGGTATTCCATCAATTCCTGGAGTCTTGTTTTTAGCTGATGCATTCAGTCCAGTTTGAACTTCTTCCTTCATCACCATTGGTTCTTTCTCATATGCTGGATTGTATACTAGCTATTTATGTTCTCTTGATGTATTGGTCCATTTCTCTTGATGCTTCCTGTATCATTCAATATTTTGCCTATAGACTCTTTCAAAATTTCAATTAGACTGAGAGTGGTACCCTATCCAAATCACAGTGGTGTAGTGGGTTACGTGTTGAGCTGCTAACCACAAGGTCAGTAGTTCAAAGCTACCAGCTGCTCCTCAGGATTAAGATGAGGCTTTCTGTTCTCATAAAGATTTACAGCCTCAAAATCTCACAGGGGCAGGCCTACTCTGTCCTATAGGGTTGCAATATGTTAGGGTTAATTCAATGGCAATGTTTGGTTTGTTGGTTGTTGTTTTTGTTTTTTTAGTTAACCATTGAACCAGAAATATGAGAAAGAAATGGTGCATTATATAATCAAGAGGGCTTCATAATGTTCATGGAAAAGTTCCTTTATAATCAAATTTCATTCTCCACATTTTTTGAAACCTCTTTATATGTGTCAAGTAAGAAAGCACTACTGGTCATTTTGCCAGGAAGCATTCTTCATTTCAAGCCAAATAGCCTTGAGGAATTGGGGTGGGGGTGGGATAAGCATTCTGTTGAAGTGTTCTCCAGAGTCTCAAGGAAATGAGACCAACACTCAAACTGGCCATTTCTTCTCTGTTGCCTATTGCACGTTTTTTGCATGACGGTTGCACTGATAAGAGCAGATGATTCTTTTTTTAATCATTTTTTGAGGGGCTCGTACAACTCTTATCACAATCCATACAAACATCCCTGTGTCAAGCACATTTGTATGTTTGTTGCCATCATCATTCTCAAAACATTTTCTTTCTACTTGAGCCCCTGGTATCAGCTCCTCATTTTCCCCCTCCGTCCCCCACCATTCCTCCCTCATGAACCCTTGATAATTTATAAATTATTATTATTTTACCATGTTTTACACTGTGCAATGTCTCCCTTCACCCACTTTTCTGCTGTCCTCCACCAGTGCGGGGGGGGGGGGGGGGGGGGTTAAATGTAGATCATTGTGATTGGTTTCCCCTTTCTCACCCACCTTCCCCTTCCCCTCCTGGTATCACTACTCTCATTATTGGTCCTGAGGGGTTTGTCTGTGTTGGATTCCCTGTGTTTCCAGATCTTATCTGTACCAGTGTACGTCCTTTGATCTAGCTGGATTTTTAAGATAGAATTAGGAACATGATAGTGGGGAGAGGAAGCATTAAAGAACTAGAGGAAAGTTGTATGTTTCATCATTGCTACACTGCACCCTGACTGACTCATCTCCTCCCTGTGACCCTTCTGAAAGGGGATGTCCAGTAGCCTACAAATGGGCTTTGGGTCTCCATTCCATACTCCCCCTCGTTCACAATGATTAGATTTTTTTGTTCTTTGATGCCTGATATCTGATCCTATCAACACCTCACGATCACACAGGCTGGTGTGCTCCTTCCATGTGGGCTTTGTTGCTTCTCAGCTAGGCCACTTGTTTACCTTCAAGCCTTTAAGACCCCAGACACTACATCTTTTGATAGCCAGGAACCATCAGCTTTCTTCACCACATTTGCTTATGTACCCGCTTTTATCTTCAGCAATCGTGTTGGGAAAGCTAGCATCATGAAATGACAGTTTAATAGAACAAAATGTTCTACAAGTACTTGAGTACAAGGCAATGTCCATCTGCTACCTTAATCTATACCTATAAATATATGCACATAGATCTATTTCTCCATCGTCATATATAAATATATTTACATATGTGCATGCCTGTATTTAGACCTTTATAAATGGCCTTTGCCTCCTGGTTCTTTCCTCTACCTCCTTTTACTTTCCTCTTGTCCCACTATCATGTTCAGCCTTCATTTGGGTTTCAGTAATTCCTCTCAGTTACATTTCCCTTGATCATGCCCTACCAGGCCTCCTATACCCTCTTCACCACCAATTTTGGGTCACTTGTTTTTCCCTTATCCCCAGGTTTGTTAACACCCACTTCCTTTCCCCTGCCTCCCCCTCTCCCATGTCCCTCAGGAACCATCGGTCCCATTGGTTTCTCCTCCAGATTGTTCATCCCGCCTATCTTATCTAGATAGACCTGCAGAGATAATAATATCCACAAAAAACAAGACAGGGCAAAACAAAGCAACAAAAGAAAACAAAACAACAACAACAAAACCAACGACAAAAGAAAAAAAAGCCTATAAACAGTTCAAGGTCTGTTTGTTAACTTTTAGGAGTGTTTTCTGGTTGAGTCTGATGGGGTGCCATGCCCTGGCCCCAAAGTCTATTTTTTGTATTCTCTGGGTACTTTGTTGCTCTGTTCCCTTGCTGTTCTGTTGTACACCCTTGGTGTTTTGCTTCAGTGTGGTGGGGTCAAATCGGTCGCAATTCCCACACTGTGTCTCCAGTGTTGTCCCCTGTAGAGCTATGGGTCAATGAGGGACATCATGTTGGTGGGGCCGGCCCTATGTTCTTCTCTGTGCTTTGGCTGCTCTGAGAGGGAATATCATCCTCAGGGATTGATGGGCCAAGATGTGCTCCACTCTCTTTTCCTCTCCCTTCATTTGCTCCTGTGTGCTCCGATCAGACATGTCCCTCTCCCTGAGCTGTAGCTTCAGTGCCGTCCTCTGAAGTGAATTCTTCTGCAGGAAGGGTGAGGCTGTCTACGCAGTTGAGATTGAGGCCGGCCCCTCAGACGAGAGCAAATGATTTAAAGAGTAAGGAATTAATTGTTTGAGGAATGACCTCAAAGTTGGCTTATCCTTCCCCTCGCTTTCTGTTGCTCAAAGAATTTGGTCTATTGGCCTTACCAAAAAAGATTACCATAAGTGTGAGCAAAGATGAGTCAAGGCCTGTGCTAATCATGTCAAATATTTTACTTCATTTAGTTTTTACAACAATCATAAGAGGTAAATACTAATATCAGCTGTTTTACTGCTGAAGAAACAGAGACACAGAGAGATGAGGTAACTTCCCAGCATATCACAGGTAACAGCAGCAGGTGTGATTCCAGCCTGACTCCTGATGAAAACACTCTCTGCCTGAGTCCATTCCAATTCTTGGTCACCCCGTGTGCTAGTGAGTAAAACCGATCACGGGGGTTTCTTGGCTATAATCTTGATAAACGCAAATCTCCAGGCTTTTCTTAGACAGTTGAGGGTGAGTGTGAACAGTCAACCTTGATGAAAGGTTAATTAATAGTTGAGTGCAAACCATTGGCCTCACACAGAGACCTGGCACAAATGACCAGTGGAAATGGGCAGAACTTTAGCCTATGTTCAAAATTATGCTGTCCTTGGAAACAAAATCTTTCTTCACAAAGATTCCCTCTGGGAGGACACAGTGTTCTAAAAGCTGACACTGCCCAGGAAGGACAGTGTAGCCCAAAGGGGCACTACTAACACACTGGAACACAGGAGTCCCTTTGTCGATGAGCCTCCTTGAGAAAGCCACTCATTATACCACCTGGACCCCTGCCTTTAATTGTGGAGTTGTGCACATCTTAAAGATGGTCTATTGTGGCAAGTTTATCCTCTTGGTAACTGCCAAGATGCTGAGGCTGTATTGAAAACATGTGCTTATTTGGCCAGATGGAAATGTGGCGGGCTCATGGAAAGGCACCAATTAAATTGTATTACCCTATGGAAAAGACAACGGTATGTACGGGAGAGGCTGGCAGTGCAGGATGCCAGCCTTTATCAGGCACAGCCTGCTTGCTGATTACAGAGCCTGGATTGAGCTGATGCCAGAATGAACACCCCATGTTTTTAAAAGTTAATTTCAACAAATAAGCAATTGGGGAATTGATTGTCTTTATTACAAAACTTTCTCATTAGACCTTCTTTCACCTAGAAAAAATGACAGAGCATTAGAGAAACTTAATTTGAAAGCCTGGCAAAATAAGG